TCATTATTACATAAGCAAAATATAGTTTTCTTTATACGGAGTTATGTTATCAGTAATAATTAACCGCTTGCATATGCATCATATATTATCTACCTACCTCTCAGGTAAACTAGTCAATCATTTCCTTTTTCGTCCCAAAACATATCCACTTCACGTATAAGTTTCAGCCTCTAGTTGCGTTGACCACCTACTGGCAACGCCGTTTTCTCTACAGCATTGGTGATCGGGGAGGCCTAGGATTCGACTTCCTACGGTGAACGATTTTAGACAATACCTAACCGTTGGTTCGAGGACAATTCTAGAAGCTGGATGCTCTAACCGGTGAGGGTTCCGTGGTTTGACCTGTGAATATTCAAATGCTGGAGCAGTACTCTCACAAATGGGCGAATGTCCACGCGTGATCTTTCATTCCTATTCTTTGGCTTCTCTCCCATTTCACACATGCATGCACTGCACTACGACAAATGTGAAACCTTTCAAAAGCTTAAAGCTTGACCTCTCTGGGATGGTGAATGTTAAAGGGCAAATACTTGAGAACTCTACAAACTGAAGTAGAAGTCGTTGCCAGATCTCACGTTCTAGTGGAGAGGAACAGTCCTCTCGAAATATACGATGGACTGTTCTTATGAAATTAATGACGTTGCTAGTGTAGTGCATATTTTGTGCTCGGGGGGTGGCTGTGATCTTGCCCCGCCTAATGACGATATCCGGCGCCTAACGGGGTATTCGTCGGCTAACGGGGTAACGAGGTAAGCATTTATCTCCCATGCACGGAACACCGCCCCAGCTGGAACAAGATCCAAGCTCCCGACTTGTCTCACTACATGTGTGGTAGTGAGGTGCATATAAGAGTAAGTGTGTAAGGGGTAGGATAGGACAAGGAATGAGAGAGAAAGATCGCGTGCTGTCTGTGGCCCGTTTGGTAGGGTACTGTTCCAGCATTTGCCTAGTATTGATCGGAAAATATTACGGAAAACTTCTGATCAGAGCAGTCAGTCGCCAGAATTCTCTTCCAGACAGCGAAAGAATTCGACATGGCGACACCGACGGGCCATGAACCCCAGAACCTCCCAGCCAGAGGTACGGCAGTGTCATCATTTTATTCACCTAGGTACCTCTCCCGGTCATACACTTGGCTTTAAACCCATTTTGCTCCATTGACGTTCGTCGGCATAGGCACCTGTGCGGTTTGCGGAACCGGTTAGGCGTCGCCTGCGGCGGCGGGGGCGAAGGCGCAGCGGCGGGCCAGCGCTGCGTGCGACCGAGCGGCTTCACGAGAAAGTTAAGTAACTCAGTCGGCGGCGCTCCGCAAGTTTCTCATTATGAGCGATTGTGAAGGATATGCCCCTCGCGTGCCCGCCACGTGTCGCCTACGGCGCGGTGGGCGGCCGCGCGCGGAACTAGTGACAAAAGACACTCGCGCTGAAACCGCTATCCTAGTGTGTGGAATGGGAGCTTTTATGGCGGTATTTTGCACTTATGAATTCTGGTGTTTGGAAATTTTTAATATTTCTTGAATTCTAAATATTTTGTTGTCAGCTTTTGTGTTTTGTTTTGAACAAAAGTAGCAAAATTAGATGATATTGTGGCGGTGATATTGCTTATTCAATACTTTTTAGACATCACTCGAGGTCAAATAATTATTTGTGTTTTTATTCGCACTTTGGAATATTTTTAAAAATAATTCTAAAACACATAACTATTCATTATTTTAATACATTATTTTCCAATTTCTTCTTCACTACTTTCGTACATTTGTGATAAATTTGCAAGTGTTCAAATCTTTGATGGGAGTAGAGAGTGCCCTTTCGCACATATCACAATAAAGTAAAATACCTAGAGAAGGCATTAAAACACTATGTTGATAGTTTTTGCCTATATTTATGCTCACGATAAATGTAAATGTTACATCTGATTCAAATGAAGAGTATTCATAAAATTAGGGAAATTCATTGTTTTTTACTAATGTCTCAATTTATGTTTTGGAGAAAAATTGACTTCATATTTATATAACTTTCCCGTTTTCTCTTCTTTCTTCTTATTCTTCCATACAGTCACATATAATCCCCTTGATTGCCACCAGTCGTGCTCCTAAAATATGGCGCCCAGCGGGCACCAACGGTCTGAATTTGGCCGACTAATATCCCCCTTGCAGCAAGGCAAGGCGTGTGATGGCGCGAAGGAATAGGAAAAGTTCCAAAAAGAGAAAGGGAGAGAGCCCCTCCGGCTCCCCGCCTGCGCGCGGTGAGGGCGAGGGGCGCTGGCGACGGCGGGGCGGGAGGTGGGGGGAGTGTGAGTGATGGATGTGTCAGCAGATGGCACTGATAGCCTGGTTGAGAACAAATGAGTGCCGCGCCGCTCCACGACGCGATTCGTGGATTAGGGCGGATTCCAAGGCGAAGCCCCGCCGCCCTCCGCCGCTTCGCCCCTCTGGCACCCGCCCCACTCGCCGTCTTCGTCCTCGTCGTCGTCCCCGTCCTCTTCCCGGTCATCATCTCTCCTTCGCCCTTATCTTTGTTTCTGCCTCCAATTCGACCCTTGTCTTGTTTAAGCACTCTATACTTATTACCCGCCTACATTTGTTTCGCCTCTGAAATTCGCCTTCTACCACCCTATGCTTCCCATTCACTTACTATTTCGTCCATCTCTTTTCCCCTCTCTTCACCTGTCTCTTCTCCTGCCTTTTCTCCCGTCTCTTCGCCCGTCTCTTCTCCCCTCATTTCTCCCGACTCTTTCCTCCACTCCTCTCGTCTTTGTCCTCGTTCTCCGGATTCCATCTCCCTAGCTTCAAGTGCAAGAGATACTACAACTTTGACGTCCCGAGCGTTTTTACAAATTTTTACGAATTTTTCTAGTTTCATCAATTGCCAAAAAAAACAAATTATTCTATCAGTTAATCAGATCTCTTGACACGGAGCCACTCAGCAGCGCTCTGAGAGAGGCGACTGGTGGCAAACCATTAGTTTAAATGGAGGTGTTCACACAAGCGGTACAGAGGCACAGCTGTGGTGATTAGTGACGCCATCTTGGCGCCAGCAGCGCAAACGCGCCACCGCCAGCCGAACCATTCTAATTGGCTGTCTTTACACTTGGCCATTCGGTCGTGCCTCTGATCTTAGCTGCTTACGCGATTACTACTTTCCGTGCGGCGGCGCTCACGACGGGGTGACTTGGTGTGTTTCACGAGTCCTCCCTTCCCCACGCTGGGCGATGATTGTGGGCGATGACTGTGTGTGAAGGAGCCCGAAGTTTTCAGTGGCGCTACCGAGTACCGACACATCAAGCTGGCCTTACAACTTGCAATTTAACATTTCCGTTTGCTATTTGCGATACTCTGAAAATAGTTTCTCCTCATTTCACTTCATGCTTGGATTCTTCAACATCGATTACTAATTCTCTGCTGCTGTATGCTCAAGTGTTACATTAGCTCTTTCCTCCACGACATATCTTCCAGCCCAGTTGGTGGGGAAGCCCACGAAATGACAGAAGTGTATCAAAGAGCCCTGCAATATTTTGATTGGAGAGAAGTGTATATCCTTTGCTAGATTCTTTTCATTTTAGTGGTGTAACAAGTCATGAGAACTGGTATTTGACTTCCATGGGTAATATAAAGTGGTAATTTATAATTTAAATCAAAAATTCTGAAACGTTCTAAAATTGAAACTTTGAAACATAATTAAAAGTTGAATAGACATCCATGAATAAAGTTTTTACATGACTTGTAAATAGTATTGTCGAGCTATATTATTAAGGCCATTTTTAAGTTTTTGAAAGTATCCTTTTAAATTAACGTAGTAAATAATTACAATGAGTTTGGAAGAAAACACTTTTATTATTTTTTCCTTACTTAAATACTTTATTTATATTTATGATTAACTTTTCTCTAACATCATTAATTTTTTCTTGAAAACTTCCGGTAGTTGTACTCCTAACCCTTGTACACCCACCACATACTCTTGAAACAGTGAATAGCGCACACCAGAAAATCAGACTTGTTCTCTCTAGCTTCAGGCAATACCCGGATCCATCAGCTTTCCCGTCGTAATATCCCGTCGTCTGAATATTCAGCGCATGCAACACCGCAGTTTCATAAGCGCTGATTAGGAAGATCAATTACGTAAAATAATTGTGTTTATTTTATACGTATGTAAATAAGTATAATGAATGTTCCACAATAAAGTTTAAAACTCTGGAGTAATTGCTAAAAATATTTTTCATAAATACATTCGATCGATTTAGAATGAACAAAAGGAGGGGGACTTTAATTCAAATTGTCACCTTATTATGTGAGTTTTTGACCAAAGTAGGTTTCGTTTGGTCCTCAATGCACCTAGGTGGCATAGTTGCCAGGCGTCGCGTAGCCGGACGAGGCAGAGAGAACGCAGAAACAGGGCAGAGAAAATGGGACTAAAACAGGACGTGTGAAGTAAGTAAAGCAGACGCGGGTCATGAATAGACGCACGCAAATAAATATTTGTGGCAACGCTTGGATAAACAGCTTGAACGGAAAACATGGTGGTTTCCCTTTACGTACCTTTAACCACCCAAAAGTCACGATTTTGAAAACCCTGTCTTTCGCGCGTTTATTACTCTCAACGGCCCGACAAACAGTTACAGCGGCTGCCGCGAGCGATATTTAGGGCAGAAGAACGGATAAACGCGCAGATCGAACGGTGGGCGCGGGAAAGGAGCGGCCGCAGCGAAGGGGGTGGGGTGACGACCCGGACGCGGGGCTTCCTGATGAGCCGTGTTAACAGCCGCGGCAGCTTGGCGTTAACGCCGCAGAAGAGGAGGTGGGGG